ATGTGTCAATTATGGACACCATTATGGCACCCTTAATGTATTTGTAGCACTTATCAACACACTCTCCAATGGTGGGGTGCCATGTGTCAATTATGGACACCATTATGGCACCCCTAATGTACTTGTAGCACTTTCCTAATAATAATGTTAGCCTTCCGTTTTAACTTTCGATCCCAAATCCTAAAAACAATTGAAGCTAATTAAATGAAAAAAAGAAACCTCTAACAACTGCAGAAACCAATGAACTGAGAAATATCCATCTTAACAACGTAATACAAATAAGCACCTGTATTGACACTTCAGCTTTTGAAGCTCCTCCTCCCATCAGCGCACTAAAACCAAATTTATGGTGAAAGGGAAGCAAACAAACAAACAGGACCTATTGAAATTGTCATGGATGAAGAACTCGAATTAAATCCATACAAAGCTTTCAGCTTAGTTAAGATCCGAGTATTTTTCTCAAATCCCAAAAAATTATGTAGTAACTTTTATATACACAAAGTATGACAGCAAAAATAATATCAGATCCAACAAAAGAAATGTAGAGAACATAAATTAAAAATGGCAATGTCTTTATTCAAAGAAATGAATGATGCTGAAATGAGGATGTTAATCTTGATTTGTGGCCACACTAGAACATATAAAATAAGAAATACAAATATACACCAAGCATGGTATGGGATACGACATCTAAAAGGAAAAAGTGATGTATATGTATTCTAGATTTTACCAACAGCCTCAATCAATACAAGCTACAAGCTCAACGAAGTACAAGTAGTAAATGAAAAATAGCAGTCAAAATAGGATGAATCGTGCTAAAATAAATGTTTCCGACCAATCTCCTGCAAGCTAGTATACAAAACCATTTCCTAATAAGACAAAAAAAATACGTGTATGGATGGAACCTAAACAAGTTCCAGTTTGATGTATAGACTAATACTCTTCCTAATAGTAAACAATAGTAGCAGCAGAATTTTTATCTCTAATGGTTCATCCATTTTGATCCTATCAGGCATGAGATAGTCGTTCTCTACAAGATGTAAATGTGTGAGTAAAAGGGGTCTTGATGAAGTCCATTATTAATGGGTGAGTATGCTGCACCAAAGCCATTTTCCATCATTCAGCTTTCCTTTAACTTCCTTTTTCACAACATGAATCAACAGGAACCCCGCAAAGGATATTGAAATAATAAGCATGAAAAATACACTGTTCCATCCTCTAGTAGAAATATATCCAACCAAAAGAGGTCCAAGAGCAGCACCTACAGAACCAGTACCATCTATAATTGCCGTGACAGTAGCTAATGCACGAGAATTTCCTTTTATCAAGGTCTTTGTACCAAGATCAGTTGCAACTGCCGTCGTAATTAGCGAATACGGTCCATTTACAAGTAAACCAGAAGCGAACATCAATGCAATATTGATGAACATTGATACACTACCATATATTCGATACAAAAGAAGGGTTGGAATTGAGAGAAACAAAAATATAACTGAAGTGACAGCCCGAGCCTCAATCATATCGGATATGAATCCCGCCAAAATCCCGCCAAAGACTCCTCCAATATCAAAAACTGTTGAAAGGATCCCAGCAGTTTTATGTGAAAGATGCACACCTGCAACAGCTATAAATACAACAAATACAAAAGAATGATAAGTAACTAATATTCACACAAGCAAAGGAACAGAAAACAACTATCATGCAGATTAAGACAGACACGAGCATTTTACTTCCTGATACACGTGGGCATAGACAACCATAGTCAAGAAATGAGTGCATTGAGAAAGCAAATTGTGCAACTATAAATTCATTAGACTATTCATAGTTCCTGAAACCCGAGAATTCGTCCTTTGACAGTCATTCTGATAATTTTAATTCCAGTAAAGTGCCATTTAAATACAGCTGAACCATAATATTAAAATGTAGATCCATGCCATCTCACCCTGAGACTCACATGAAGCCAAGATGAATTTTACATAATCTAAATAGGTGATCTCATTTGTCTCCGTCCAAGTGTAAATTAGTTCTTAATTGGATCAAAAACCCAAATTCTAAATCTACAATCAATGACATAAAAGAAAAAGAATAACTACCATTGTGTCTTATGTAGAACGGCAGCCAATATAAAAATGTATATGCCACGAGCTTAGAGAAGAACAAGCAGAATGCAAAAGATGCCACGTCAGGTAACCTCCATGCCTCAAAGAATCCTATAGCAACCGAACTTTCCACATCCACATATTCCATTGTTTCCTCTGTATCATTTGTTTCTGAATCCACTAGTGCGACTCCTTCAACACTCATCTCATACTCCTCCCCTGACAATTCAAACCCAATGTTTTCTGGATTCACTACAAGAAACAAGTAAATAAGAAAAGCCACGATCACAATGAAAATGCCAGGCAGCATAAAGGACCATCCCCATCCAAACCCCAATACCGAGGAAGCAATTAGAGACCCTATGATGTTTCCCATGGAGGTATGAGAATTCCATACCCCCATGATCAACCCTCGTTTCGCTTTCCCAAACCAGTTCCCTACCACTGCCACCACACAAGGCCACCCCACAGACTGAAACAATCCACACAGAACCTGTATGGTAATATAAAACCCGAGAGAATGCAAATCAAGAAAATATCCCAACCCAAAAAATAATACAAAAACGCCACTACCCAGCATCCCAACGGTCAGGAAAATCCTCAAATCAATGGTGTCACCTATATGGCCAGAGAAATACATGCCGATGGAATAGGACAATAGAAACGAAAGATCAAGCTCCCCAAGACGGTGGGGTCCGTCAGGGCCACTGAACGGTGCCCATCCTGTGTCGTTTTGAGGTGGGTTTCTGGTAAAATGAAATGAACCCTTATCAGAATTTGATGCCGTGGTGCCATTGGTTAGGGTTGCATTGAGGAATTCAGGGGTGGGAGAGGTGAGTACAGATTTAACAATGCTGGGGGGTTTACGAGAGGCATGGAAGGCCGCGTAGGCGATGAAAGTCAGAATAAGGACTAGGAACCGGTGAAATTTGAGGGTCTTGTTTGGAGGGTTGAGGCAGGGGAAGAGGATCAGCCCCGGTGGTGGAGCTAGGGTTACGGTTTTGAGTTGCATCATTTCACAAAATTTGTGATGTACAGTATAATGTGTCGATCGGATCTATGTAAGTAGAAATTATGAGTATATAATATTTACAGAGATCGAATATACAAAAGAAGAAGATGGTAGGATTTATCTGGGACAAGAGGGATCATCTGTGGGTTTATTTTATTCTTTTTCCTTCTTTCTTCCCCCCTTCTCACAGACGATTTGTCAAACCTTTTCTTAATATCTAAACTGGGTTTTTTTTTTGATAAGAATCTAAACTGGGTTCTTGTAGCCTACAATAATGGATTAAACTATTCAAAAGAATTTTTACACTCTAATTGACATCCTCTCACATTTGTAGTGTGACCCAAATAAATTAAAAAAGGAAAAAAATTCTCTCCTCCCCCACATTGTGAGGGATCTGTTACGAAGGGTGTCTGACACTCCAGCATTGTTCTATAATAATTCAATGTTAAAAAACCTTTTTTTATAATACTTTGAAGAATTAGAATTTTTATTGCACAGATATTAATTAGTAGATAATTATTTATTTATAATTAGTTATATAGACATTTTGATTTCGGGTTAGTCATTTCACGACTCTAAATAAATTAGATCCATTGATTGTTAAAGCATATTTGGAGGTGTTTATAAATTATAAACGTTTTTGTTTATGTATATAGAAATAAATGGTAAATATATGGATAAAAAATAATTTTATTTATAAATATGTACACATGAGCAAGATATAAACTTACAAGGAGATAAGACGTGTATACACTTGTAAATTTCTATGCATTTGTACCCTCGTGATTTTGTGTTAGAAAATATTTCAAATACACCAACTCAAAAGGCAAAATATTAGTAGATTAGTTTGGCAAGATATATTGTAAAAGAGCTATTTTAATTAATATTTGTAAATCATTTCTAAATCAATTTCATCTTTCGTAAGAACTTTTAGAGTTAGCACGTTGAGCCAAATGAGCAACTTTTAAAACTTTAAAGTTCCTTTTAACTGAAACGACGTCGAATGGACGTGTAGTTAAGTTATAAAATAAGTAAAATGAAAAAGCCGTACTTATAAAATAAGTAAAATGAAAAGGAATTTTATTGGCATGACTAGAGCATATTAGTGTTGTAAGCGTACTTTTGTTTAAACAATTTTTGTTCCAAGAAAAGAGACTGGTGGAAAAAAATAGTTACAGCAAGTTTTTTTTTAGCAGGGCCCGAATTTATGTATTAGATTAAATTTGCTTCAAAATGATCTAAATTCGAAATTGAAGGACCTCAGTTTTTACCTTTGGTTGATGCCAGAAACTTACTGGCAGTTCCTACTTAGCGACATGATAAGTCATCAGGGACATTTTATATAAGGGGGACATTCGGTTTTGCTCCACCTAGTGAAACGATTTGATACTAAGATTTGGTCGTGTAAGAACTTTTTGCTTCTTTTACTTTTTCATTGAAACTGAATCATCTGGTTAGATTTTCTATGATTTTTTGTTGAACAATGTCGGATGGAGACAGCGCAGGTTGAGGAAAGACTGTAACAGTTGAAACTAAATGTGACTCCTATTTTTGGTTGGATTTCAAAAAATTTGAACAGTTTAGCATTGCTAGAAAGGCCCTTTTCGTCTATTATAAGAAGCACCTAATTTGTTACCGATCTTACAGATTTTAATTGTGCTTTTCAAATTGCAGGTACAGCTATTCGAAGTATAAAGAAAAAATCTGAAAAATTGGTAAGTTTTGGTTTTCTTACAAGTGTCTCATGCAGTGTGAAGAATATCTTTCAGGTTTGAGTTTATTCGAATAATTTTATTTCTAAATTGAACCATCTAGCTTGTGTCATATCGTTCTCGTCTTAGGACATGCAAGAGGAGCAAGACAAAACTATGGTGGAGAACTTCTCTAGTTAAGTTTAATCTTGGACGTTTGTGGCGTGTCTCCCCCAATATTTTATTTAGCAGTTATGCTAAGATCAACAGTAGCGAAGCAAGGAGTAATAAAAGACTGTTTTGGGATGCTTTCTCAAGACGTGGCTCTAGAAGACGTACAGATTCCAGGGCCATTGCTCTATCGTCTGATGATTCTAATCATTTGATGTCTGATGACAAATGTCTTCTTGATATTAGTGGTGATTTTGATGGGGTTGGAGGAGATTTTAGATCTTATTGGAGTAGGACTCAAGGCGTTAATGAACGATGGCATTCAAATTCTGAGGTAACATTTTGGATAACCCATCTTTATTTATTTGAGGGATCTCTTGAGATGTAAGAGATCACCTGTTGGTCAATGGTCTTGCTCAAATTCGGAGTATTATTCAACAAGCTAATGCCTGATTCACTTTAGTTTCATGATATATTATAGTTTATTATGTTGTTGACTTCAGACTTCACGGTATCAGCTTTCATCAATTCTACTTCTCCACTGAGCGCTTTACTTATGCTGAAGTGACATACTTCTTCAAAAATACATCCATCCATCCATGCATACATAAATACAAATACATTACATGTACTATCATTTTGCGTCCATTCGTTCTTGCCTTTGTTTTCTTCTTTAAAGAGTCTGATAGAAGTGTTGTTTCGGTTGACAGATAACTATGTTGTGATGTTGTCAAATATATCACTTTACTTACTGAGCAATGCTACATGTATATAATTTTTTTTACCTAATCTTTTACTTGCTCTCACAATAGGGTGTGGGGACCACATTTTTGGGAGTTTTTTTATTCACGCCGGCTCCGCGCACATGTGAAAGGGTGTAACATTTTCGGAAAGGAAAATTATGTACAAATAGTTTTATCCTTACTTCAAGGCCGTTTTATTGAGTACTAACTGTATGCAGATCTGGCAAAGACTTCGTGGTGGTCTTGATACAAGTGATCACTGAACTGCAGTTTGTCCTATATACTAATGCTGAGGAATCTGGCACCAGTGTTGGTCTTTCATGAATTGTCGTGTTGGCTGATCCGTTGTTTGAGGCAACTCTTTTCAAGTAATCAATCTGTGATTCGGTTTCCTTAGCTGCTGTTTTGATCAATTTTGTTCATCAGAGTTAAACAAATATAGCAGGGGTTATTTTTTTGAGAGGGATGTGATCTTTTGAGATAACTTTTGTAGTCATCTGTCTCTTCTGTTCATGTTCTAATTGCGTTGGAGAGGCCATGTTTCTGCAATCCTGTGTTCGTTCTAATAGGAAATAATAGAACCGAAGGTCATTGTCCTACTACCAATGGGCTACCTTATCCTGGAACTAATTCAATTAGATTGGTTGGTTGTATTTACGAGCAGTTCTCTGTTTTTGTTTATTGGTTTTCGTCTCTCTTTTTTGGTGGTTAGCCTGATGATTGTAGCTGCCGGGCAGAAGTTCATTACGGTTCCAAGGAGGGCTGTGTTTCGAACTCCTAAATCCCTTTTTCTTTAATACCTTCATATTTTGTATATAGCTGTGTAGGTGCGATGATGTAGCTTTGAATTGTTTTGCATTTGCACGGCACTTCTTCGCATGCAATAAATATTATGGAAGATGCGATGATGTAGCTTTGAATTGTTCTGCATTTGCACGGTACTTCTTCGCATGCAATAAATATTATGGAAGAAAGGGCTATAGAAAACAATTTGAATTGAAACGAGAGAATGGCTAGGGAAAACAAATTGTTCCAGCAATCCAGCAGAGCAGAATTACAGGTTAGTAAGATCACTCTAAACTCCATGTATATATTTGAGGCATAGAAGAACCAAGCCTTCGAGCTTGAGAAGAATTCAGACCCTAAAAGGAAGCTGGTTCAGGTCTCAGCTTTCTTTTTTTTTATGACTATCCTAAACATCGAAGAAAGGGTTATACTTAAAGCCCTTGTCGATACTACTACTAGTATTAATAGATGCACAAACCATCTTTGAAGATGAGAAAGTAGCTTGCTCTTGAGGAGCAAAGAGATTTGGATGACAATTTTCATTGTCATCATCAAATGTGGTCCATCTTTTTGAGTTTTGCTTCTCCTTAGCTACTACTCGGGAATTTCCCATCACTCCAACATGTTCCTTGAATTCTTTTCTGACAACATCTAACACGACATCACCATATCGATCACACCATGATCTGAAATAACCAAACAAGATGTTAGCGTGGGTACAGCGTGTTCGGCAACAGCTTAAAACAGAACGATTATTTCATTCCAATTCACCTAGTTCATCGGATCAAACATCAAGTATTTGAATCAATAAATGAAGAAAAAAGTGCGAGGGGCCTTACTTGGGGAAGAACCCTTTCAAGTCAGCCTTATCAACGGGAAGCCTTGTTGAGATCGCTTCAAGTTGATCATCTCTGGTGAGTCATATCAAGTAAATAGTTAGTCTATGTAATAGCAGGGCCACTATATACAAATGCAAATTAATTAGCTGGGAAACATTTCAATCAAGATTCGAAAAGATAGCTGAAAAGAAAAGAAATACTTACGACAAATGAAAATTTGGATTTTTGGCACCAAGCTCTGTTTGGATTCGAGACAGCTCCTTCTTTATGTTCTCTCCTAAAACCTACAATTTTCATGAAGATAATGCAGAAAAGTAGCATAATCTAGTCAAGAAAATAGTGGTAACAAAATTCAACAATCCATATTTCTGGATGTGAGATGTTATACCTTATCAACAAAGAAATCTGTAGGTGCACCATCAGGATGCAATTTCCTCTTGATTTGCTTGGTGTCTGGTCCCTCCGCAGCTGGGTTCATGATGAGCCTGCCAGTGTAACTTTCACCATCCGATTTTTCACTGACAGACAATGGAACTGTTTCATCCTCGGAATCATTTTTCTTCCATTTCTTGAATCCATCAAATCCCCATTGCTTCCTTCCCGATTTCATCTTTTCATTTTCATCGGGTTCTGGATTATGATCACCATTCCCCCGTCCCTCTCTCTGAAACAGAGTTTTAAAAGATTTTTTTTTGGGTTTGTCCCCACTACGTCGCTTGTCAATCTTCACAGAATCTGCTGGCAAGCTCTCTGCCATGAGAATGGACTTTGTTTCACTCTCTTTTTCATTCAAACTACTATTCCAGAAAGGATTTTCAGTAGAAAGACCAACTTCATTCCTTATAAAGCTAGCGGTGCTTACGTTTTGATCAAATGGTACTGGCCTCAAATTTTTATCATCCTTTCCTTCCTTCAACTTGCAATTTTTAATGGGTGATACAAAGCCAAATGCAGATGCAACTCCTTTAATTTGCTTTACTGTTGAACCCGGTTTCGATTTATTCTTTGACATTAAGTACTCTTGACTAACCTTCTCATCCTTCAAATCAATAACTGACCACTCTTCATTTAAAGCCTCTTTCTGTGTCCCCACTATGAAATCTCGTGCCTCAATCTCCGCTCCTTGAATTGCTAACCTCTGTAACAATGGTCTTTTCGATGCATGATACTCATCCTCTGAAATGCATTTGGCATAGAACAACTCCTACAAGAAATTTGGGAGCTTCAACCACAGAAGGAACTTAATAGATGAATTAAAATCAGTTCATGCCATATATCCAGCCACACAGTTAATATACATCCATAGCACCATTGAATAATTGACAGCTTAGTTGAAAAGCCCACTAAATTAATCTTGAGAAATTACTTTATGAGGCCAAACGGGAAGGAAAAAACGAAAAGAAAAATCAGATTCCATGTAAAAACGCAGAAAAGTGGGAGGGGATAAAGGATTAACTCAGCAACTTCACTCATATCTCAAATCAATGCCAATACTTACCTTCAAAAAGATCAGCTTGTCCCTTAAAATGACGGTTGGCTCGTGATCTATAGGCGAAGCTATTAGAGTCTCCAGAAGATGTGTTCTGAATGCAGAGACCTCAGTTTCAGACAGAATGCCCTCTTTACAAAGACCCATTAGATTAAGTATTTGGTGGAATGAATCTTGCTGCCATTTCAGATTATCGGACTGCTGCTTCGAGAGCTGCTGCTCCGCTGCAGTGATTGCCGGAAGCCGCCTTTTCTTAAAGGAAAATGGAAGGACGCTCTTGCACAAAGAGGTTATGGAGTCGTGCAGTGATGTGTAGTATGTGGGTGTATATGTGTACACCATTTTCTTTAACGCAATTATTTTCTGCTATTCCTTTTCCAATCTGAATCGAGATCTGGATTGAAGCAGGTTTTTAATATTCTGCTTTTCTTTGGTGATTTTTATTTCTGTGATTTTATAGCTGAAGTGAGGAGGGTTTTCTTTTCCTGTGTGTGATGGAGAGAGGCTTTGGTGTAAGAGTTTGAATTATGGTGTCCTAAAACGGTCAGTTGGAACTAGCCGTTGGGGTTTAAACGTTGCTTTTCACTGTAAACGGCGACGTTTTATACTTTTTGTAATATCTTGTTTCATACCCTCTCTTCTGAGATTATTTACGAAGAAGCCACAATGGCCCAGATAAACGTCCAAAAAATTTCTCCAAAAGATTGTCCTCACCTTTGGAAAAATCATAAAATTAAATTAATTTTGGATCTACAGACTTCGTGTGCTAATTATTTGTTCAATAATGGTATTCAAACACGATTTAAAAGCAGGGGCTATGACAGGTACTGCGTTGGCAATACTGCATTTTTATTATTTTTAATATTGCATCATGTATCTCCAAATTTTTTTAAACATGTCATTGAATCTGTTACTGTAGTAAAACTCTGATTTGTCGACTCCTCTCTATCATGGACTGCATTGTTTATCATACTCGACTTCAGCCACGTAGCTTGGTTTGCAAGCACATTGCGACTAAAATGGCTATCAAGAAGTTGACTTCAAGTTATCTTAAACAAATAGGCATGTGAACTTCATTATCCATTTTTTTCCTGATCACTGTTCGATTTTTTATTGGCTTCTTTTTAAAATTACTTTTTAAGTAAATTTTTATTTTTAGATATTTTTGGGTTGGACCTTATGCGTATGTCAGGAAGGTAATTAGTTGGTTTTAAAATGAGTAACTTAGGGCATTTGTGAAAAAAACCAAATTCTTGTGGCCAATTTCTCCTCTCTTGAAACTAGAATGGAATGAATTGCATGTAGAAAAAAGTGTCAGGTTGTTCAAATCATTGTCTATTTACCCTTTGCATCTTCAACTTCAAAATAGACATATCGAAGTGATGAAAATGTCAGAAGCGGACAAGAACTTTTATTAACGTTGTTTGTTTTGAAAATAAAAAGCAGTGAACTTGGTGTTTTCACCTATAGTTAAATACGGACAATGAGATTGATACTTACTCTAGTTGCCCAATACAATTGGGAACTTGAACAAATGGATATAAGAACTGCATTCTTACATGGTAACTTAGATGATGTCACGTATGAGGCACAACCACTTTGGTTTGAAGTTAAGGGAAGACAGGAGTTAGTTTGCTAATCAAGACAAAACACAAAAGGTAGTTAGTTGTTAGTGGGTGTTTAAGATAAAAGGTGTAGAGTGTCACTGTAGACCTAGATGAACCAACTAGGTAAAATGCAAGATTATTAACTAAAAGATTCACATAAAGGGAAGTGATTAACTTTAATGGGGTGTTTTCACTCGTAGTTAAATACAAGATAACGAGATTGATGCCTACTCTAGCTGCCCAATACAATTGGGAACTAGTACACATGTACATGGTGACTTAGATGAGGTCATGTATATGGCACAATCACCTTGTTTTCAAGTTAAGAGAAAATAGTAGGGGTGGGCGCGGGTCGATTCGGTTCGATTCGATTTTTTTCGGTTCCAGAGATTTTCGGGTATTTAGTAAATGGAACCGTCGGTTCCAAATATAATTTTGGAACCATTCGGGTTCGGTTCGATTCTGTTCCGCTCGGTTCCGTACTATAATTAAAT